CTAGTACAGAAATTAGTACCACGAGTGGGGGGTTTCAAGAGGCAGGCCCTAGCCCAGCCAGTGTGGTTTAGTGAATTGTGAGTCATCCCATTCACCAAGAGGTCACTGGTTCGATTCTCCATCAGGGCACATGCCCAGGTTATGGGCTCAATCCCTAGGAGGGAGCATGCAGGAGGCAGCTGATCAATATTTCCCTCTCATCAATGTTTCTCTCTCTCCCTCTCCCTTCCTTTCTATCTAAAAAAATCAATAAAAACTATTTTTTTTTTAAAAGGCAGGACCTAAAACATGGAATTGATTCAACCAAGGAGGTAAGAGGAAGGGCAGTAAGAACCCCTATATCTTGGGTTGAAAAACTGGCAATCTAATACATCTAGTTATTCAGTTTCCTGTTGGGATGCAGATCATGTGCCTACTATGGCTGTAGCAGTACATTACTTAGTAGAGATATTTAGTGTTAGATTGGGCTGGCTCCTTGTTGCTACTAGTAAAGTACTGTAAAAGGAAAACTTATTCTCAAACTAGCCTACCCAAAGACAGAAAAGGAAGAAAACATAGCTTAGCTACAAGAAGCCCTTCCTGCCTATGATCAAAATTGGCTGATATTCTGGCCCTGGCTGGTATTGCTCAGTGGTTAGAGTGTTGGCCCTCGCACCAAAGTGTTGAGGGTTAGATTTCTGGTCAAGGGCACATACCTGGGTTGCAGGTTCGATCCCAGGCCTGGTTGGGGTGCGTGCAGGAGGCAACCAGTCGATGTGTCTCTCTCACATAGATGTTTCTCTCTTTTTTCTCTCCTCTTCTTTTCTACTCTCTCTAAAAATCAGTGGAGAAAAATATCCTCAGGTGAGGATTAAGCAAGCAAACAGACAAAACAAAGATGGATGATATTCTGGAAACTGGCAGGATTAGAAAACCCTGGAAACTTTGCCTCTAGATATCTGTATAATAAAAGCCTAAGCGACTGTTACGGTGGAAAGACCGGTCGCTATGATGCGCACTGACCACCAGGGGGCAGACACTCAATGCAGGAGCTGTCCCCTGGTGGTCAGTGCGCTCCCACAGAGGGAGCACCGCTCACCCAGAAGCCAGGCTCATGGCTGGCGAGCACAGCTGCCATGGCGGGAGCCTCTCATGACTCCGCAGCAGCGGCAGCAGGCGCAGCGGGCCGGGATGAGCGCAGCAGCGTGGTGCCCGCCCTAATTCGGGCTCCTCCCTGGCTGCCTGCCACTTGGCGCACTGCTACATCCCCTGAGGGGTCCCGGACTGCGAGAAGGATATCCAACTGCCTGCTTAGGCCCGATCCCGGGTGCCGTTCTCTGTAGAAGGAAGTCAGTCTGAATAACTCAGTGACTCAGGGAAGTGCAGGGAACTCAGGGTGAGGCTGCCTCTGTGCTTGACTCACCCACTCGATGGTGTTCACAGGACAGACCGTGGTGGCCCAGCCTGTGCACATGCAGCAGCTGCTGAAGCTCAGGCAGCAGGCTGTGCATCAACAGAAGGCCACCCAGCCACAAGCCGGCAGTCGGACATCCCCTGAGGGGTCCCAGACTGTGAGAGGGCACAGGCCAGGCTGAGGGACTCCCCTCCCCCAGTGCACGAATTTTGTGCATCGGGCCTCCAGTATCAGTATAAGCAGAAATAGGGATAGGGGAATACATTGTATGAGATAAGACAGATATAGATGCATCTTGCTCCCCAGCCCTTTCCTGGTTTTATATTCTAGCTCATAGAATCCACCAGCAGCAAATAGACTGGAAGCCCACCAAGGGACTTATAGTGTCAAAGAAACTCTAGGTTTCTTTGGTGACAATGGCCAGACTTTTTTATACATCTTCACCTCAGGATATTTTTTCCATTGACCTTTAGAGAGAGAGTAGAAGAGAGGGAGGAGAGAGATAGAGAGAAATGTCAATGTGAGAGAGACACATTGACTAGTTGCCTCCTGCATGCCCTGAGCCAGGAATCGAACCTGCAACCAAGGTACATGTCCTTGACTGGGAATCAAACCTGAGACCTTTGGGTCTGTGGGCCAACGCTGTAACCAATGAACCAAATAGGTTAGGGCTGGCCAGGTTTTTTAACTCCTGGCAAATCTTAGGTCCCTAAACACAGTGAATCAGTCCTCATAGGGATACACTAGAGCAGTAATTCTTATACTTTTATGTATATAAGAAGTTTATTAAAAGTACCAATTCTTGGGCTTTATCCCCAAAGAATATGATTCTTTCTATCTGGGATTGGGCTGGGGAATCTGCATTATTAATTAATGTCCCTGGTGAGTCACATGTAGGTGATAGGGAACCCCACTTTGGGAGACATACGTAGCCTTCAGGGAAATGATTAAATTCCTTAAGGACTGGCAGCAGGACTGCATTGTCCTCACGGTATCTAGCAGTGTGTAGGGCACAGAACAGGAGCTCTGCAGGCCTTGTCTACTAGACCCGAGAGGCATGGGTCTCCAGAGCCAAGGGTTTGGGAAGCATGCAGGCTGTGATTCCAGAGACTGGCCTGCCTGCGTCCCTGCTCCCCTGCTCCTTGATTCTTCTTGATCCTGCTTTGCACCGACTGGGGCAGCCTTCCCCAGACACTGAGCTGGTAGTGGAACATGCCCAGGATCTCCTGTCAGTGCCCCCTGTTCAGCCAGAGAGTTCTGGGCACATCTGTGGGGGTGAGGGATGTGCCAAACGTTGGAGAGAGTGTTTATTAGGCTCCTCCATGTTTATTTTCCTCCTTCGACCACCTCAGGGCAGGGAGTGTTCTGGGAGCCTCGGTGAAGCAGTTACACTTTGCTGGCACCTTGTGTGACTCATGTGTCTCAGGGCCTCACACCCTCCATCAAAGGCCTTGGAATCGTCAAGGTCAGGATATTTAAAACCACATTCTTGGGAGCGCTCTGGATCCTGCCGACTCAGCTCAGGGAGAGGGAAGTGCCAGAGGACAGCTGTCAGTGCTCGTGCCACCATGTATGGCAGGCCTAACAGCGCACACCAGTTACGGGTATGGCCATATTGTTGTTTAGTTCTAGCTGGTGATGCCCAAGGGACCATATATTTCTCTTTATTCATTATCCTAAAGCTTTAATTCAGCACCTACTGTGTGCCAGACACCGGGGAGGATACAAAGATGTGTAGACACGATCCTGCCCCAAATGAGCTCCCAGACTAGGAAGCAACATAGAGGCCCTGCAGAGAGACTCATGAATGATAATCAAACTCATAGTTATTATAAGCTCCCTCTGGAGGGGTGTCCAACTGGGAGTGGTGGAGATGATGGTGGGGTATAGGGGAAAATTCTGGAAGCAGGGTCCTGAGTGGAATATATAAAGTTAAGCGGAAGTTGCCCAGGCTACATTCAGTTTCTGGCAAAGATGGAATAACAGGGGTGGAGTTTACCCTCCCATCTGGAGCAATGAAAAAGTTGTATATGAAGCAATAGTTCTGGCATCAGACAGCACAGGACAGTGATCCTCAAGGGAGGGGAAACAAATGAATGAGCCCTGTGGCCGCCTCAGTGTACTGCCTTGAGAGTTTCAAGGCTGCAGCACAAAGACGAGGAACCCAGGTGGGGTCCAACAGTTTCTCTGAGTTGAAGAGATGGAGCAAGTAGTCCATTGAGGTCATGGCAGCTAGAGTTTTCAAGGCAGAGTACCAGAGAGGAGTGAGAGGTGGAGAGAGGAAGGAAGAGAGAGGAGGTTGTAGGGTTAGATGGGTGGGGGAGAAAGATACCCAGGAATCTGCAGAGGGTTCCCTTGAGTCTTTAGCTGAGTACTGCTCAGAGCATTTTGTAATGAAACTACTTAGGGAAACAACCACACAAAAGCAGAGGAAATAATTCTTGGAGCTCACACGAGGCCAAGAACAGTTTATGTTCCCATTAGCCAGAATGGCAAACCTCATACATCACAAGGCTTCAGATGGAGTACTCAGAAGGGGATTACCTCAGTAGCGGATTAGTTCTTGAGTAGTTGATATTCTGGTCCCAACTAGCAAAGCTTAAAAGTGAGACTCCGAATAATCATACTGTTTCCATGTAACTTTACTGTGTCCCAGAACATAGCTCAAGAGTATTTATAGAAATACAAAAATACCCAGCACCCACCAAGGTAAAATTCACAATGTTTGCCATTCAGTCCAAAATCACCAGGCAAGCAAATAATCAGCAAAATATGACCCATAACAAGGAAAACCGATCAATCCATCAATGGAAGCAAACCCAGAAATGACACAGATGTTAGAACAAGGACATTAATAGACAAAGACATTAAAAAAAAAGTTATATGTTCAAGAAAGTAAAAGAAAGATTGAGCATGTTAAGTACAGGCATGGGAGATATAAAAAAGATCCAAGTCTAACTTATAGAGATGAAAAATATAATGCGAAATATTTTTAAAGAGCACTGAATGTGATTAACATCAGCTTAGACACTGAAAAAGAAAACATTAGTGAACTTGGTGATACCGTCATGGAGACTATCCAAAATGAAACACAGGAAGATTAAAAGTGGCGGCAGAGTAAGTGGATGCTGCACGGACATGCTCCCAAGAACAAATTGGAATTACAACTAAAACACAGAAAAACTCCCTAAATAATCTACGGAAGACTCGCAGGAGAGAACCCTGATACCCGAGGACCGAAAGTGGAGACCGAACAGGGTCCAACCACTGGCATAAACATTATGAATCCAAGCCTTTTGAGAGAAGGGGAGCTGTTTGAAAAACGAGCTCTTTCCACTCCTGTAGTAGAAAAACGTTCAGTATCTTCTGAGGCATCAACATTATCACCATCGAAGAAGAAGAAAGCAAAGCTAGAACATGGAGGATCATCTTGCTCTAAACAAAATTCAGCAGCAGGCAAGCACTTCATAAAGGAAAGCCAGCACCACTAACGATACTACTGTAAACATAAATAAAAGCAGAATGACAAAGCAGGCAGTGTTCCAGTTATCATGGACAGAAAAAAGTGGCGGCAGAGTAAGTGGATGCTGCACGGATGCTCCCAAGAACAAATTGGAATTACAACTAAAACACAGAAAAACTCCCTAAATAATCTACGGAAGACTCGCAGGAGAGAACCCTGATACCCGAGGACCGAAAGTGGAGACCGAACAGGGTCCAACCACTGGCATAAACATTATGAATCCAAGCCTTTTGAGAGAAGGGGAGCTGTTTGAAAAACGAGCTCTTTCCACTCCTGTAGTAGAAAAACGTTCAGTATCTTCTGAGGCATCAACATTATCACCATTGAAGAAGAAGAAAGCAAAGCTAGAACATGGAGGATCATCTTGCTCTAAACAAAATTCAGCAGCAGGCAAGCACTTCATAAAGGAAAGCCAGCACCACTAACGATACTACTGTAAACATAAATAAAAGCAGAATGACAAAGCAGGCAGTGTTCCAGTTATCATGGACAGGGTAAATTTTTTGAACTTGAAAACCAAGGTACTGATAAACAGATGTCATTGTTTCATTCCATAGGCTGGAGCTCAGGGATACCATTCTTAGGATTCCACTTCTTGTACTGCCCTTTTGAATCTACAAAAAGGTAGAAAATGAATATATGTAACCAGAATCAACAGATTTATCAATACAAATCTCAATGCTAAGATTCGTTAATAAATTTATATAAGCAATCTGAGTCTTCCTTCTTTTCTGCCAGAATTAATCCCTGAATGGTATTAATTTAATAAATAAATGTAAATACACACACACACACACACACACACACACACACACACACACAAGAAACACGGGAAAAAAAGACTGAGGAAAGAAAAAAAGAACAGAGCACCAGTGATCTGTGAGAAAACTTCTGAGGGCCTATGTATATTTGGAGTCCCAGAAAAAGAGGGAGGGCAGAAAATACGTTTGAAGAAATAATGGTCAAATATATTCCAAGATTGATAAAAAACTATAAGCCCACAGATCTAAGATGCTCAGTGAGCCCCTAACACAAGAAACTGAACTATACTAAAGCATATTATAATAAAATTGCTTAAATCCAGTGCTAAGTAAAATATCTTAAAAGCACCCAGAGAAAAAAGACATTTTATGTACAAAGAAACAAAGATAAAAATGACAGTAAATTTTTTTTTTACCACAATGAAAGCCAGAAGTTAATGGAGCAACATCTTTACAATACTGAAAGAAAAATTGTCAGCCTAGAATTCTATACCCAACAAAAGTATTTTTAAAAAACTAAGGTGAAATGAAAACTTCTTCAGACAAAATGTGAAAGAATTCAGCCTGGCTGGTGTGGCTCAGTGGTTGAGCATCAACCTATGCACCAAGAGGTCACTCGGTTCGACCCTGGTCAGGGCACATGCCTGGGTGTGGGCTCAATCCCAGTGGGTGGCATGCAGGAGGCAGCAGATTGATGTTAATGTTTTTCTCTCGTTGATGTTTCTATCTCTCTTCCTCTCCCTTGCTCTCTCTCTAAAATCAACAAAAACACTTAAAAAATGTGAAAGAATTCATCAGCAGCAGACCTGTACTATAAGAAATGTTGACAAAAGTCCTTCAAGCAGAAGGGACATTATACTAGACTAGAGGCCCGGTGCACAAAAATTTGTGCACTGGTGGTGGGGGGAGGGGGGGTGTCCCTCAGCCTCACTTGTGCCCTCTCACAGTCTGGGACCCCTCAGGAGATAATGACCTGCTGGCTTAGGCCCGCTCCCGGGTGGCAGAGGGCAGGCCCAATCCCTAGGTGCAGCCCCTGGTCGGGCTCAGAGCAGGGCCGATTGGGGGGTTGGGGCACCGCCCCCTGTCACACTCAAGGCAGGGTTGATAGGGAGGTTGCGGCGCCACCCCCTGTCACGCACAGAGCAGGGCCCATCAGGGGGTTGGGGAGCTCCCCCCTGTCACGCACAGAGTAGGGCCGATAGGGGAG